CGCGTTCACCTATTGGTGACATATGGTTTGCACTGCAATTTCCGTTGTAGTTTGCTGGACCCAGGTACCCTGTGTTAAGATTACCTTGGTAGTTGTACCTCATGGATCTTTCATAGTCGTATGCATATTGGCTCACATCACGTGTGTGAGTGAAGTTATTGAGGGGATGAAGTGTCGACCTGTTCTCATTATGTTGATGAGGTTTAACATAGATAGTGCGAGAGTCTGGACGAGAATTTTCATTAATATGGTGCCTATATACGGGTCCCGTTTAGTGCTCCATATATTCTGAGGATCCATTCTACGTTGCATTCCGAAGTTATGCGCGTTGCTAGGCATGTTACTTCTGGTTCGGGAAGGGGTATTCTTACTCACATTCTGCGTGACGCTTTTGGGAATGTGCTTTGTTACCCATACATTGTCATTTTTTAGACTTATTACGAGGGAGGTATGTCGAAGTCTAGAGTGGGACTCTGGGCTTTATGGTCTTTCTTGCAGTTTCTACTGCGGGACTCTCTGGCTTGGATCCAGATTGAGTGTGGTCTGCCAGTAGTTTCTGGTCAGCCATAGTTTGTGCGTCTATGTCAACCTCATGTAGGTCAGCAGGTTTTCGAGATGTGCTCTCATGTACTCTAAGATTGCACCCAATGACACCGCTCTTACTGAGTTTTGGATCGCTTTTACTTGCCGATTTTTCTCCCAACACTATCTGTAGCTGCATCTCTTTAATTAAGCTTGTTAAGTAAGAGAGCTTTACTTTTTCAGACAGAACATCTTCCACCTGTATTACTGGGGTCAGATTTATGTTCGAGTCTTTATGTTTGGTGAACTACTAATAATAAGGGGTGGTAAAGTGTTTTTTGACGAGCTGGTGCTATTTTCTAAATTACTGGTGTTCACACAAACACACTTTTTAGAATTTTTAACCATCGTTATTAAAGATCAATTAATAGTAACCAATAAATGAATATAAACGAAAACACGTACAAACGCATCACCTGATCCGAACGTACCAGGCGATATTTAACATAATGTGTATCAATGCTTCTGATAGTATTTGTTTTGTTTTTCGACGACCGAAAGACAGTAAGGGCCCAGCAGGGATTGTCAATTCCAGTGAAAACTGACTTAGTTCGAAGAGGCAGGGCCACTGGACGTTCGTTGATTGTTCATCTACATTCACATGGGGCTATTCGCAAATTTCTTCGTGGTGTATTTCACTGATATCAAAGTCTTTGGCCACACAGATGGGAAAGCGGCGATTGGTCTTGAAACACTTGAAAGAAGTGGGTCTTAGAATACAACGTACTTAATGTCATCTACCAAGAATAGAAGTGGCCTCTCTATTGAACGTGATGCGAATGTAACAAGAGGCGAGACACGTAAGGTTACAGTCGCTAAACAGTTGCCAATACCAGAAGGTGATGGTCGATTGCATAGTCGGCACAAGACTAGCTGTATATTCCTGCCGTTTCGGGAAGAATCACAGCAAAATTTTCTGCTCACTGGCGCATTCAGTTTGTCACAATGTCCCTTTCACATACACGGAAGACTGCCACTACACTTCATGCTCATGAAAGATTCATTTGTATATGTGCCTGCTTGATGAACCCCTGCAGCGTTCCTAGCGGAGGTCAATTGCTTACAGGACAACGATGCAGGTCATGCAGCGACTACTGCGATCCTGTCTCAAAAAGATTTGACGGAGTAGCATGTGTCAGTAGATGTTACAACAGTGTATTGACACTACCGAGACTAGCCCGCTCCTGAGTGCTTCATTCGTCATTTTGTATGAATTCGTTGGCAGTGTGGTGAGAGCAGGCTAGCCATAATGGTAGACAACATTTTACGTCAACGGATAAGCCGCAAATATTGGTGATGAGAAAATATGAACAAGATTGATTCAACAACCAATCATGGCAGACTTGGCCCCTCATTCAAGAAACAGTCACAAAGAGATGCAAAGATAACTTTCTGTAAGAAACAACCAGACAGAAGACTGTTTGTCTGCTTAAATAAGCTATAATAATGTACATGAAATATATATAAATACGTGTCGATTCCCTTAATGAACAATCTGTTGCCTGACTCTTTTCTTTTGTCGTTCCAACAGTCAATCTGTTTACTGCCCGGAATGAATAAAAAATTCACTGGTTGCTGATTCGTTAAAACTTTCTGCATGTTTAAATAGATACTAACTGATGTGGTGAACTTCTTGCAGATAATATTGTTGAAAAACATTATTGTCGGCGGAATAACTGACTTTTTACAAGCCATTTTCATACTTTCGCTAATAGCTCACCATATCGACTACATGTAAAACAGCCTCCAGTTATCACGCGCGTTTTCGACAAATTCAAAAAAACAATGGTGCCTAGGATCACACCACATAAATTGTTTAACCTTCTTTAAAGTGTGCTTACTGACATTATTCCATTAGTTCTCCTCGTATGTATATATATCCTGTGCTAGTGAAAAATCGTAAATATGCTTTCTCCATGTATATATGACTTATCACATTGACGATGCCCGTAAACTGGCGTCCCTCATATTCATAAAGTGGGAATATACATGATTATTAATAAACAAACTACCGAAGTATGTGAAAGTAAGTTCCGACCGTGGCATCATTGATTTATTAGTAAGGGCCTTATCTATTATTTAAAAAGTCTGTGCTTAGAATAGGCAATACTAGCCCACAATGGGTCCAGAACCGCATTTGTAGGGAGATCCTCAAGAACTGTGAATTCGAACGCGTGCACTGACCTACCAAATGCCGCCAACAGTGACGTGCTACCTCAAATGCTACTGAGGCTAGATGCAATTTTTTCTTCATGTCAGCTCATGATGAAATCCTGAAACTGGCCAGATCCATAAAAACAACACTTGAATATCAGTCTGACGTTCACTGGTGACTGGCCCTATTCAAGTAACTAGATACCTGAATTCTAGTGTGAATTCATGATCAGTGGAGCACAGCAGGTAGGACATGAATACGAATACTCGCCGATAAATTTCGCTGGCAGCCACGCTATTTCGTAAATTCACCGTGATAAGAATTCATGAGTTGCCCATTAGTTCGGGTCCCAGTGGCTTAATGGTTAACCGGCCTGCCTTGTAGCCGCAAAGTGCTGGGTTGAAACCCTGAAAATGGGTTCATACCGATAAAATTACAAGCCAGTACTAACAGGTTTTCCAGTGGTTCTCTAACTGACGCCAGTTCAATACGAAGCACTCAAACCAGTCTAATCCCGGCAAACCAAAAATGAGACAGCACCACAGCGTTGCCATTGCTGGGAACCTGCTTAATAAGCATCTTGGTGAGGAGTAGAAGCCCAGTTAAACACAAAAGAGTGTTCATCATTCGACACTGTCTAATGGGGAAGAGAAACTTTACAAATCATAAAGGAGGCCAAGCCTCTACTTGTTTACTTATGTCATTCTTTTGCATTACTTGATCATTGACCAAGTTAAAGTAACTCTAGTATGAGCAATGACTCTAAGCTATGACATAAACCTATCCATCTTTTGTCTGAGGTCTTCAGCTAACAGTAAACTTGTTTTTGATTTAAAGACCTTCGAATTATTCTTCCAGTTGAAGAAGCTCTTTCCTAATTATAATAATAATACATTCCCATTTTTGTACATGAGAGACGCCAGTTTACGGGCGTCATCAATTCGATAAATTACACATACGGTTTGTAAGCTTAGTTAATGAAATTATAATAAGGTATATATATATATTTTCAGCTATGTGAGACACACCAGTTGTATAGGTATCGATAAGTACTATTTAAATTACATATTTAAATTACATGATTTCCGGTTTAATTACATGGTTGCTGTGTTTTCGTCTTTTTAGTTTGTGGGAAAAATCTGAGAACCGGTGATTCAACGGACCATGCCAAGAAATGTAGAGATATTGACTTTGCGTTAACAAAAAAACCGATGAGTTGGATGGATTACACGTGCTTGGGAAAATAACAATGAATCGCATCTTATACTAATATATTCTAATTTTATGCACATGAAGGACTCCAGTTGAGAGGCATCATCAATATGATAATAATGTACACATGGAGTAAGCATGTTTAAAATATATCCTTGTTTCACAGTGCCCGCTGTTCGAGAACCTAGTATCCTAAGGTTTTCACACCGCAGCCCGAACAAGCCTTCAATCAAGCAATGGATTTTTCCCTTTTTCGCACTTCCCTCAATCCAATCATAGCAAATTCTCATATTTCCATCTTTGAATTCTAGTGGTTTATTGGGAGTGATATTTTTTGAATTATTTGCCTTCCGCACTTAGAGAGAAGTTATATGCGACATTATTTTTCAGCTTATTTAGTTTCTTTCCACATATTTAGATAGTCTCACTGAGTTCCTGAGCTATCTAAACAGCTGGTTTTGAGGCAATAGCATTTCATCCTGTCGTAGATCTTCAAGGTTTCGTCCGCAACTATTAACAGATTATCTTGATTTCCTGATCTCTTTCATAGCCGTTGCCTTCTTGATGCCTTTGAGGTGCTTTCGTGTGTCTGTAATGCATTTTCTTGAGAAGCAACTTCAATTTATACCTGCTTATATCAATTTATTTTGAAGCAATATGTTATTAGACGTCCAGCTGCCGATTTACCTATACACAGCTAATATAAGACTTGCGCAACTACTGGAATAATACCTTACGGCATGCCTTATAGGTAAGCGGCATAAGATCTTTGCAAATATGTGAAACGACTGGTTGCAGCCATCGCACAGCATAGCAGTGCCTCACGAAAAGTGGAGGCCCAATTGTCCACAGTAAGCTTTACTGGTCAAAGGGAAATCAGTTAGCCAACTAACCTGAGTAACATATCCAGCACACACTTACGCTAAAGAATAATACAAAAAGATTCCCAAACTAAATCTTATTGTTAGTATCAATCACTGGAGGTGAATTTCTAGGGTGGTCAGTGCGCGCTTAAAACGAAGATTGTCATTTGTTTCGGAGGTCTTTGATAATGACATCGTTTTTCGAGTCAGTCTCCGATGCTGCGCCGATAGAAGTATACGCATTAACTGAAGCATGTAATGAAGACAAAGATCCTAATAAGGTCAATCTCGGTGTTGGTGGTAAGTAAAGCTGATTGATAAGAAATTACGACCTAAGCTTATCGCACAAATGAAGGTGTACCGTGGGTTTTGCCAGTTGTACGAACAGTTGAGTCCACCATGGCGTCAGATCACAATCTCAACAAAGAATATCTTCCAGTAGCCGGTTTGGATAGCCTGTGTAAAGCAGCATCGAAACTTATTCTTGGTGATACAAGTGAACTGCTCTCTTCTAAAAAAGTGTGTTTTCTGTTTGCTATTCATGAACTTCGTAGGCTGACAGTTGTCAAACTTTAGGAGGGACAGGAGCGGTTTACCTAGCATTACAGTTTTTGTTTAACATTTCCAAATGCACTTCTGTCTACATATCCAATCCTTCGTGGCGTATGTAAAATCATATAATCACTCACTTTCTAGCTAACCATGCGGGTATTTCACGGCTTGTGGGTTTGAAAATAAATGAATATCGTTATTGGGATCCTTCGTCGAGAGGGGTCAACTTTAAAAACATGCTTGAAGACTTGACTAAGGCACCTGAGAGGGCGATCGTCATTCTTCATGCATGTGCACACAACCCAACAGGAACCGATCTATCTCGCGACCAATGGAAAGAACTAGCAGAACTCATTAAGGTTAGCTATTTCGATTAATGTCACACTATTAATTGATTTATATTTACATTCACAGTAGGTTGTTGTAAGGTATCTGAGCAATTATTTTGTGATACTATTATTCCATAAGCACCAATCGTAAAGCCGTTGTGCAAAATGTTGCACTTTAATGTATATATTTACGCAGATTAAATTAGTTTCTGAGGAATGTTAGCTAGAAACAGCGTAAAGAGACCACAACACACGGGTATAACTGTGAAAATGTATAATAACTAAGTGAAACGAGACATCTTTCTGTCACATCTTTTAGAACACAATTTTTATGATGCAGTTGTACCAAGTGAGTGCCGATACTTCTGGAGTTGAAGAATAAAAACACGAGTTTCCTCACTATAACCGACAGCCACCCAACAACTTTATGGTAGTATAAAGACGTGAAATTTCTTGATTTCTATAAGTTGTAAATTAAATTTCTTGACGGTTACAACATTTCCCTTCGTTCTACATGTACCAAGTGTGACAAATCGAGTGAGGGAATATTCGCCATATTTTATTGAAAAGCACTAAAATGTTTTCACAATGGTTTAATATTATGAGAAAATATATTGCATTTTGCAGTTAATCAACGAGATATCCAGAGAGCCCATCAATAGACAAATAAAGAATAGCTGTAAATACTTAGAAATACGAAACTAAACGATTTTAGCTGTATATCCAGCTACCTTTGGGGTGGCTTCATACACATGCTCTTTCTAAATCATACAGTGTAATTTTTTATCCTTTTTTCTGTCGACTCTACACATGGAAAGCCAGAACAACTTAGCTTTTGTGTTAGTTTTCATTTAATGCTTATGCCTAACTATGTACTGTAGTTTATAAATAGACAAAATCACCAGGTAAACTCTTGATCACAATAAAGAAATAACCCGATTAGTTAGAATCAAAGGACTTTAGGCTATAGAAAAGACAGATGATAAAGTTGCTGAAGATTCAGCTGCTATAATCTTGTAAAGCGAAGTTTCAGGGTTACCATCGAAGTGAATTTTATCCTGAGATAGTCAGCAAAACTGCAGAAACACAGTGTTTGGAGAAAAAAACGAAAAATCCATCGTTTTGGGTTACCGCATATTCTCTTCCTGAAGTGTTGGTTTGTTGTAGAGTGGTCAAGGTAAACTTTCAGATACTGAGTCTCACTTCACCTCGAGCATGAATTACCCATTTCAAGTTGAAAGCGTCTCTTTTTATAAAAAGGAAGTCACTTTTGAAATGTATCAAAAAGTGGGTGTCAGTTGAATATCAAGTCATTGAGTTAATTTCCATCCCAAAATTGAATTGTTCTAAATAGTTACCACGCTACAGTCATGCAGGTGCCACATCCTTTTAGGGTTTCTTTTATCAGTTTTGCAGTTTCTGTCCAGTATTTTCAGCACTTCGTTTAGTTGGCGCTAATTGTTTTCATGCCTGATTGATGACCACGTAACAAGTTTTCAACTAATTTACCTACATTCTTCTTTCCAACGGTGTGTTCTTTTAGAAGAAACATTTATTTCCTGTCTTCGATATGGCTTATCAAGGATTCGCAAGCGGAGATCTAGATAATGATGCCTGGGCTGTTCGTCTTTTTGCATCAATGAATATGGAATTGTTTGTGGCTCAATCGTTTTCAAAGAATTTTGGACTATATAGTAAGTCTCACTGTCCTGATATGCCTTTCAACTAATAACTTCGAGGCGAAAACATTACACAGTGCTGTTAAATCTGTTTTATAATTGGCTCTGTTGTAAACTCTCTATGATGGTTTTGCGTAGACGAATTATGTGAAGCGTGCCTAATGAAAGCATTGTGACGTAAAAAACTCTTATACATACACTTAGTAAGGGGTAGTTATATGCCTTCCTCAGATAAAAGTCAGTCTGAACGAAGAATATTCTCTTCAATAATTTCTCTTTAGGTTCTTACAATTATAAAATATATTTGTTGTCGTTACAATAAGGGCCAGTTATGCGGTGGATACATTTTTAACGTCGAATATGGGAGTACTCCTTCCCCTTAATCCTCTTGTTTTTTCTTTTTCCTTTGCTCATTATTACAAATATTATAATTACAATTACTATTATTATTATGATTCGTCATAATTTATGCCCTTCATGCAAACCTTCCCTCAACACTACCGAATTTTTCATTTATGCTATCCGGACTTATTATTAGTGATATTATCTCCTTTCTCAATATATGCCTCCACCTGTTTCATTTCACATATTCCTTATTTCATTATGAACCTCTCATTGCAGTCTTACTATCTACTCTTTAATACATATCACTTTGTACTAGCCACTCATTCACCTGACACCTTTTATCACCTTGGACTGACCTGTCAATTTTCCTACCCCCACACTCTGCAAATCTATCATCACTAATCACCACCATTGTCTCTCATTTTGCAATATTTTGTAATCGATTTCAGCCCAGAGCACGTTTGTCGCAAAAATACTATTCATTTTGACACCCCATAACTGCTAATCTGTTTTTCTACGTTAAAAAAATGTATCCACCTCACAACTGGCCATCATTGTAACGACAACAAATACTATGTTTTGTAATTGTAAGAACCTGAAGAGATTGTTTTTTAAATGACAATGTGGGAATATTTTACACTCTTAATTCCTCAGATAAACACTTTGTGCTTTAATGTTTGTCTAGCGTTAGTATCATTTTCGTTCAATATAACCTTTCACATTACTATTATTATTACTATCAGTAACAGTATGAACTAAATAATCCCAACTCATCACAATAATTGGTTCATTTTCCCGTGATATGCACTAGCATTTTTACCATTCTAAAGCTTGAACGAGATCTAGCTTGTAGTCTACTTCTTCACTTATATGTCCTGTATCACTTTTCATAGTAAAGACATTGAATATGAATATCGTTCTGTACTATCGACGGCATATTTTTTTTATTGTTCAGCAATTCTTCAATGTATTTCCTTGAAATTCTCTTTTCCAGTGGATTCTTTTAAACCTAATTAATATTAGTTAACGAGCTTAATACTGTTTTCTTATTCCACCGTGCACTGTATCACTAACTGTTAACCCACCGTAGGAACTTGTTAGTATTGCACACTTTGAAACATCACGTATGAATAACAACAATCTGGCAAATTTAGTGAAAACTTTGGAAATGATAAAGAGCAAATGCCTTTGTGGTATATCGAACTACTTAGTATTAAAATACGAACTGTTGATTGGTAAGCTTAAATTTCTATGCCACTGTTGTCTCACCTGACAAAGGCCATGTGTTCTACGCAGTAATTTGAATTAATTGACCTAGATTAAAGAATATAACTCAAACAATGCAGTTGTGAAGCTTTATCCATTAGTGTATGTATTTCGCATGCTGAGTTGGTCTCTTCACTGGCAAACCAAAAAGTAAACATACTTTGGAGAACAAGAAAATAGATTGGACAAAAATATGGTACCAATTGACTGTTAAACTGAGTCAGATAGGTTGTTTGATTATAGGTTTTTTTAAATGGTCAAAATCAGTGGTTGGCGACTAGTTGTGATATCGGCTGGAGTCGTTCACAATAAGGTATATGTATTTAATTGTAATTTCCACCTCAATCCTTCTAGAATACACACATTAACGTTCTGAAATAATGGCATTTCTTTCCCTACCAGTGATAGTTCATCACATTTATATTTTGTTGGTGGTTTTTCTAGCTTCAAAATGGATGTTGAAATTAGGTTTCCTCAGGCTCATGCACTTAATTTTTCGCCCGTTTATCAATCTGATTATAACCAATTGTACACTTGAATCAAATAATAAGACGAGTATCATGAATGGTTAGATATCTGAAACTAGCTATCTGAAGGGATATGTTAGTATGGAAAAAGTACTGTAGTAAAAATGATATTGTCATAGTCGCTAAAAGTCCACTCTCATTTATTTTGTTTTCAAATAAGTGGTGATATCGTAAAAAGAGTAAACCACAGACAAAAAATTCCCCACCTTCTAATTTCATTCACGTTGATAAATATCATTCTCAAGTGGTTCATCGGATTAAGTACTTAGCTCCCAACCAGATTCACAGACTCAAGCTTAGCTAACTGGGTTGGGTGATCGGTTCTCACGCTAAAAGTGAGTCTCATAGTCTGCTACATTTAAAAAGATACTTTCCAAGTGAGTATTAGAGAGGTTTCGTGTGCATTTCGGATTGTAAGGACGATTGTTACTTCCCGGCTACCCACACCATGGAAGTTGGTTGCGTGACCGCAGAGTCCAGGGGACAACTGCTTGAGGCCGGTCACACGCGGCCTGTTTTTGTTTGTTCTTTTTTATTTGGTGTGTCTCAATAGCATATTTATCGCTTCTGCCCTGTAACACGGCAGCAGGAAGCGCGGTCGTTGTTAATCCGGGCCCCGACCGATCCGGCATGATATTTTGTGAATTTGTTTGAATCATAGTATTGGATTGGGTAGCTGCTTTTTGTCTAACCGCTATCCAAACAACCTTTCTGGCAAGGTAGGACCTTGCGAGACATAAGTCTCAGCCAGTATAGCTTGTTGGGTCATTGCGGTGTTCAAGCCCGACCACCACATCAAGGTAGCAGCTTCCGGTTGGGACTTTCCAGGTAACTGAGTTCTTGTCAGCCTGACTGGATTCAACCGTAACTATATTTAAAAATTCACTTGTACTTCCCAAAGTGAATATACCATAAGAACTGAAAGATAAACATTCATTCGCCTTTCTAACATGTACTGCAAGACCTGGAACTGAAGTATTCTCAAAAATCTTCAATTTCCAATACCAACCGATTATCCTCATTGCTGATTTCAACTAGAGAACCGTTGGAAACCAGGCAGTATTTGACAGCTGCTTCAACCTAGTTTGAGAACCCTTCAGCAGTACCCACGCATAACCAACCGCATCAGGGATAGAACCTACTAATAGGTTTTATTCATGTTTATCGAGCCTAATGGTATATATATATATATATATATATATATATATATATATAGAATCGGTGGAATGCATACAGCTTAATTGAGTAGGCTTACTTAAAATATACATATATAAAGGAAAGGATTAATTGATTTCAATAAAATTAACAACAGATATAACAATGCATTATTAAGACAATAAAAGTAAATTAGGTCATACAGCTAGCTAATCAGTTTCAGTAGAATATAGAATTAAAAGGAAAAAATAATAAATCACGCTAATTAGAAAAAATAGTAATAATTTACTTCATTAAAAACATTTCGTTAGTTCAACTCGCGTTTTTTAAAAAATTACTTGATATGTTCCTCAGCCTAAGAAAAAACCCACATAGACCAATGAAAAGACTGTTTTCGGCAATTTTATTTATCATAGCTGTATAATTGTAAGTATATGTATATACCACTTTTCTTATAATTGTCCCCTAGTCCTCATATTTCAAATACCCTATCATCTAGTAGAATAAATTTTAAAAAATTAATACAGCTGGGTACTTATTGATCGAAAATCAAAACCTGATTTGATCACTTGCCACTCATGGTCGACGCATATGTATGTGTAACTCTTGATGCCATGAAGTAACAGTTAGATCTTCTAAGAAACGTTTTGATCGAAAATGGATGTCCACCACCACATGTCATAAGCCAAAATCCTATTAAGGGGGACTTGTCATCTGTACCCAAGACAAGTGCAGTGTTATGTGAGCCTTGAATTCAAAGGTGACCCAGTTGCCGACATTCTTAAATAAAGGATCCTACAATCCCTGAGAGTCGTATTCTTTGCAATATAGTCAAAAATAGTGTTTTCTAATCGACCACTACTTTTTGATAACCTAATGGGCAAGAATCTGCAGCTGATCGGCTCTGTGTGTGTGTGTGTCTAACGCTTCACCTGCTTCTCTATAGATTGTCTGACTCGTATTTTTTCTAAAATGATACAGTAAAATCCACAACAGTTAGTTTAAGTCAGTCAGCCACGTAGGAAGGTGTAGACTTCCTGACTAGTTGGGGTCCTTGCGACGTTAAAAACCAATGAAGGCTGGAGACAATTGGTGGTGATATGGCTCAAAATCGTTCTCAATGGCTAGCACAGATGCATCCACTCCTTTTGACTTATGATTTCCAATGAAATTATATTGTTCTTCCATATTACTATTCCTTTTGTCTCATATCTCTGTCTACTGTCTCTCTATTTTGCATTTCTCCTACTTTCTTCTGTTGTTTTGTGTGCTACATGAAGAGAATGTGACGACTTGAACTGCTGCAAATCGGTGCAGAGTTCTATGTCAAAAACAAACAGACAAGTACAGTACCCTACATGGTTACAAAAGAGTGAAAGTAGAGCTATAGGAAGTGTAATAACCGATACATTTGGTTGAGACTGATCATCTTATCCTTAAAAAATCTCTTATTTTTAAGTTATCCATAAGTCACAAATAACCTGTCTAAATCAATACATAACTGTGTCTTATTTGTATTGCTAAGGATTAAGTTGTCGAAACAGAGAAGCAACTATAACTTTATTTACAGGAGAAGAAGAAGGTTGTTTAATCACTTCTTCCCTTCTGGTCTGAATCCGATTAATGTTAAATAATGAACATGATAAATACTGGCGAAATATTCCCACTTCTTACGTAATATCACTTCTTTTCTCTTCCTATACTCCTTTTAACAATTTTTTA